ATGAGAGGGCAGCGTTACCAGAGTTGCCCATATACCACACCATGTTACAACACAGTAGGGCTATTGCAGACAGAAATAATACTGTACTACATCGATGTTTCCTGTCGGCTCGATTTTTGAGTGGAATGTGCTGTTCCGATTCGCATGAACGGTATACGAGTGGAGCGATTGAGCGGAGCGAACACGAATAGAGCGGGATAATACGCAGAGCGTCACACCACGTGAAAGTGAAACCTGAGCGGTGAACTAATTTTCGGCAGCCGAAATTTCGGTGCATCTCTAACTATTGGCGACATCAGAAATGGATATTATATAATAGATGTTTTTTTGAACATTTTAGCAATTTAAAAATATAAAAAAAATGATTTTTTACACGGCACCCCTGCTCTCGACAAACGGCACCCCAGGGTGCCGCGGCACCCCGGTTGGGAAACACTGCATTAGTTAACATAAACTGAATTCTTCTGATTCTTCTGAACATGAATTAATCTGAGGTATTCCAATATTTAATAACACGTTGTTAAAATCAACTGTGTTAACTGTGTTATTTAATGAGCTAACATGAACGAATGTTAATGCATTAACTAAGGTTAACTAATGAGGTCTTATTGTAAAGTGATACCTATTGGTCTTTATAGTTCTTTTGCACTATTTCTGTGTAAAACTTTTAGCTTTATACATTTTTCTGTATTGCTTTATTGCATTTAAATGTTCAGTTATTTTTGTTCTAAGAAAAAAGTTATTAAACCTGTTATACTGTATTATGACAGCACTTTTTTTAAACTAAATTTCAATACCGTGATAATACCGTACACCGTGATAAAAGCATGAGCAATTAATCGCAACATGAAAATTTGATACCGGCATATCCCTATTTATATGTTATTTCATTAATATAATAATTTATTGATAATAATTGTTTAAATTAATATAATAATTAATACTTTTGACTTATCCATTTTAGTAAAAATGGTTTAAAGGCTGAAATGTGAAGTGTATCATTTTATAAAACATTTTGTTTTTGTGAAAACATGTATCTGAACTGTTAATCATGCTTTTCACAGTCATTTTACAGTTCAATACATTACTATAGACCAGGGGTGGTCAATCTTGGCTCTTCGAGGCCACTTTCCTTCAGAGGTTAGCTCCAACCCTAATCAAACACA